ATTTAATGTATTAAACAATGTAAAAATTTCGGAATGTAAATTGAAGAAGCAATATTTGAGCAAAAAGGATAGCATGTGGAGTTGTTTTAGAAAAAAACAATGCTAAATGTTTCTATAAAAAAAAATGCAAGGAACAAAAGAAACCTGCATCAAGTTTCCGTGGTCCAATTATTTGATTTTTTTTTTTTTTTAGCGAATTCTGGTAATGACTTTAGTCGTTACGAAACAAAAGATATAGTTAGATCCTCCGTTTCCGTTAAAAGACATCACAAAGCAATCTATAACCTGAAACGCAATAAATCGCAAGGTCCAGATGGTCTATTGAATGCAAACAGTTATTGTTACATTTTTGTATGTATGATTTAGCAATATTTTTTCCCCAGTAAACTGGTCTACAGTAATCATTGTACCTGTGCATAAAAGTGTGCTTTTACAGATCCTTATAATTTTCGAGGTATCAGTCTAGTTAGTTGTCCGTGCAAATAATTTACATCCATACGTAATAAATGTCTGCTCGACGTACGTACTAAATATGTTATTGTAAAAGACGAGCAGTTTGGTTTTCATCCAGGTATAAGCAATGCAGATGCTACAAATTGTATGTTTGACTTGCAAACTGTCATTTTCGAAACCTTTATCTTAAAAAAGTGGGTTATAAATTGTCTTTTGATTAGTGGCAAAGGATTGATGCAAGGGAATATTTTGTCCCCTTTACTATTTTCTTTGTTTGTAAATGAATTTGAAAATAATATAATAGAGAATGGCGTATCCCATTTCGTTTTTGAGGACTTTTTAACTTCTTTTTCTTTATGCAGCTGATTTAGTTTTATTTTCTGAATCAATCGAAGGTTCACAAAGCCTCGAGAACAATCTTAATGAGTATTCGAATAAGTGAAAATTTACAGTCAATACCGCAAAAGAAAATATGGTTTTCAGAAATAGTGGAAGTATTAAGAATCAGAAAGCTAGGTATATACCAGAAACAAAATTTCACTTGGTAATCAATTATGTTGTTTGGCGGTTCTGTTTAGATTGAATGACGAATTCAGTTTTAGCAGAGCAAAGTCGTAAAGCGCTATTCGCCGTACAGTCTTAATGTAAACACATTAATTTAAACACCAACACTATGTATCATCCTTTGACACGTACATTGTATATTATGGCTGTAAAATGAGGGGTTGAAGGAGTGTAAAAAAATGATTTGGAATTTTGTAAATAAAAAAATACTGTGTGTTAAACAAATCTCTGTGTCATGCAATAGTTTTTGTTTGAGCTTGGACGACTTTCTCAGGCAAATAACAAGATGCTTAGAATATTTCAATATTGGTTTTAATTGTTAATTTTTGAAAATTGTATTCTGACAGAAGCATATCCGTTTTTTGTTATAGGATATTGGGAGGGAAAACCAGAAAAAAAATTGTTTATTATTCATAAAACAGAAATGATTTGATCTGATGTTTGGATATTTAAGGATGAGGCAGGCACCTACTGACATCGGTCCGATACGCATTATAAACCAACACCTAGATGATCAGTCGGAGCAAATGTCATTCAACTCGCATGCCGTCACAGGTTATATGATCTCCATATCTACATGCTAGATTACAAATTACAAATAGTACGTACGTTAGCAAATAATCTTTGAATAAAAACGGGAAGGTACAAAACTTTTGCAAGGGATAACAGATATTGCAGTAATTGTGACCTAAAAGAGGTAGAAGATGAATTTTATTTTCAATTTACCTTCCACGTCATCTGGATAGAAGAAGTGAAGTTATCATAAACTATTTCGGGAAAAAAACATCCGTATTCAAACTTATTGAATTGTTAAATACACACAATGTGAAAGAACTGTTAAATTTGTTAAGAAAACTTATTAATTGAAGCTAACAAACGTAGGATTTCATAACTATAACTTTGTATCACTCAATCGTTGAATTATTCAATCGTATCATGTTCGTGTTTTGATAGTAAACTTTTTCATGTTGAAAATGGTAATATACTTAATGCGTGTTGCATTTTGATTTTTTGATGATGATGATGATGATGATGATGATGATGATGATGATGGGATGTGATTGTCGCGCTCTGGGCGTCAACGTAGCAGAAGGCTTTTACAATAGCTCCAATTTGAGCCAACCTGTTTGCCGTGGGTTGCGTCTCGTATTCCTGGGGGAAGAAGATCCTGGTGGTTAAGCAGGGGTCGGAATCACTGATGAACCTTGGATTGGAGGGAGACATGATCCGACTTTCTGCAACATACTACTTTGGCTTCGGACTCTGGGTAGTCGAGAGGTGGTATGGGCTCTCTATCACCAATCGGCTGGTCACGCCGAGCCCTTGGTTTACATACTTCCAAGAAGGCGTTGGGTTAGGGTCAATCGCGAGAGTATGCTCTACCGGGTAATATATATACTCGTTATGTATACTTTTTCGAATATACTACTTTGGGTATCCCTGACACTGTGGCGCTGGATATCCGCGCTAATATGAGTGTCCCCTCGTTGGGCTCCGGGGTGGGTGGGGACACAGACAGCGAACTACTTAATAAACATACATGGGTAATGAAAACAAACACAGAAAAAAACTACCACATTCCCACAATTCATCATCATGTCGTCAACCACTAGTGAAAAAACTGCAGCAACATTGTCTCCTCTTCTGTTGAGGAAGGGTATAAAAGGAATAGCTGGGGACGTAAAGTCCATCAAACCTTTGGGATCTGGCGATCTCCTAATCGAAGTTTTTCGCAAACAACAGGCGATTAACCTACTGGGTACCACCAGTTTTGGAGGTATCAGTGTTATAGTGAAAGCACATACATCACTCACTAAACAGCAGCAAGGGGGTAATCAGCAGCCCTGCACTGCGCAATGACGCTGATGCCGGCATACTGGAGTACTTCCATGAGGAGGAGATCCCAGTCTCTGAGGTGCGACGTATTTTGTCAAAGAAGAACAACAAGTTAGTTTCAACAGACACGTTTGTACTGACCTTTGCTACCCCATCACTACCTTCGGCCGTAGTGATTGGTTACCAAAGGTACAGTGTCTCCGTCTACATCCCTTATCTATTAAGATGCCGTAACTGCCAGAAGTACGGGCATCATGAAAAAAGATGTAGGCGGAAGACCGTTTGCCAGTATTGTGGTCGTGAGGGTCATGAAGACCAAGGCGACTGTGATATTGCAAACCTGCGTTGTGTCAACTGTGAGGAAAATCATGCTGCTTCGTCTCGAGACTGTCCAGCTTGGAATCGCGAGAGAGATATTGCTGGTCAAATATACCCGAAATGTCTCCTTTACCGAGGCTAGGAGGATAGTGGAGAGCACTGACGTGGCTGCTCCCTCATATGCACAAGTGACGAAAGTCCGGTCGCCGGTTGACAATGTCACAGTCAAGTATGCTTCTGTTCAAGTGTCCAGGGAAAGTCAGCATGAAGGCTTCAGCTATACATACCGTAAAGAAAGCTCTTCTGCTGGGAAAGTCAGCATGAAGACTTCAGCTATACCGTAAAAAAAGCTCTTCTCCTGGGAAAGTCAGCATGAAGGCTTCAGCTATACTGTAAAGAAAGCTCTTCTCCTGGGAAAGTCAGCATGAAGGCTTCAGCTATACCGTAAAGAAAGCTTTTCTCCAGGGAAAGTCAGCATGAAGACATGCTGTACCCAGTCTCGTAACATCATAAGCTAATCATTCTCGTAGCCAGCCTCTAGGGCATGTTCTGCTATAGCAGAGATAGGCAAGGTAAAAAGTTCAACGAAATGTGTCCCTGCTGTGCTGCTTTATCCGGGTGCCCTTGTTTTTTTGTGAAAAAATTCTTCCGACCAAAACAGATTTATTTGCAGTTTTCCCTTTTTAGGATAATCCCGTTCTCCACCTGCAATACCTTTTAGGCAGGCTCTACTCACTAATATGTAAGTAACATGAAATATGTCATTCCCTTATCTATGTGAAAAACTGAGAAACCTCATCCTTAAGCTTACTCTCTGCCATGGTTGATGGCAATGGAAAGTTTCCCCACTTCCTTGGTCAGAAATACAAATATCTGTCCCAGGGGTAATACTATTTAATGTTTATTTATGTATCTTCCCACCTTGGATTAAGACTCACTAAACGTGAATGTTATAATGAAGTCACAGTTAAAAGAATCACTTCCACCTTTTCATAAGGAAAGTATGTCATATAATACAAATGACTGTTTTTTATGGGTGTGATAAAACAATTCGTTTTAGGATACGCTAGTTAAACATCTATCCTCGAGCTAAAAATGTTAGAGTTTTACTCCCTGCCAAGTTGAAAGTGATTGATATTTCCGACAACGGAAATAAGAAAAAACTTGTCTAAGGGGTAATATTATTGACTGGTAACAGGGGAGATTCTGTGACATAAGCCCAAACGAGGCACATTTATCGCTATTTTTATTTGCTACCTTTATAATTTCTAAGTCTACCTGTTTTCCTTGTGATATCTGTTAGCTGTAATTACCGGCGACGAGGTTTGCTCTATTCTATTTCAAGTCACTCGGTAAAACTAAATTAGAATTTAAAGGTCAAAACTATTATCAACCCACCAAGAGTATCATCAGTATTTAGCTATCGAACAATATAAAAAATGTATGATTTTTCCTATTATCTACGAAAATAAAATACAACCCTAGATATATGAAGATATATTAACTTTATTTAAATTGAAAACAAGTCATCGTTAATAACATAAAACATATAAATGTGATAAATTGAATAACAAATAATTAAATTTAAAGTGTAATACATTTACATATATTATTACACCCTTGATTATAGAGAATATTCAGTTATAATGCCATGCTCACCAATGTAAATCAACATCCTTATGTTTTCGTAAATTTAATATAACGATTTGATATGAAGACAGCTTGCTTGCGAGCCTTCTAAACCCTGACTAAAACAAAAAGATATATGACTTAAATTTTCTGAATTAGAAAGCGTACAATATGTTATTGTACGCTGCTGTTTCTAGTTATTTATACTGCAAAAAAATACACACGTTGATAAAAAACTAATTGAAAGACATTTTGATAAATTGAAAGACATTCTAGTAAAATAAGGAAACAATATCAGAAAAAATCAATATAAACAATATATATATGTGACTGAAACTTAATCACTGTGAGGATTTTTCTATAGTTTAAGATATTAACAATTAAAAAAACATTAACAAATGGCAGTTCCATAAAATGTAATAAAATGTTCGATGAATAAAATTTGAAAAAAACTAAACATGAGGTAACATTCTGGAAATACATGTCTCTTATCATTCTTGATATCTGTGCACAGTGAGTTATATGGTGTATCAAGTCCGTCACAGAAATAATCTTATCAGTAATAAACATCAAATACAGATTAAGTAACATAGAAACTTGAAGGCAAATATGTAAATTCATAAAGATTACTGATCGTAGAAGTTTAACAAACATGCGCTGGGTTCGACTGCCCCTTCCACCTGAAAGTAACTCGGACTTGAGCAAGACTATTGATATAATGCAGGACATACAATCTTGCCCAAGTCCCACATGTTACAGGTGGAGGAATGAAATAGATTCAAGCACAGGTGTGAGTTTGACATTTCAGCATGCAAGCTTGTGTAGGGGGAGCATTTTCTGCTGACAGTCTGTACAGTATTAACCAGACCGAAGTCGTCGAGAATCCTGACTTTGTTGTAAAAATAAATTGTCCGATTTCCGTTACTGTCTGCTGACCAACCGACTTCACAGTACGTACAGTCATACATGCACAGCGCTACGCATGGCTACTTCGTACTAAAGACTAAAGGGAGTACATAACCTCATAAGAGTAAGGTATCACGCCAACTGACAACGACAAGCACAAACTGCGCCTTCTATAACACTAGTCTGACTAGAGACAACCATCCTTACATGGCAGTCAGGATCCCACCTCCCAAATCCACGGACTCGGCTCCCAGCCATTATATCTTATCTACACCCTTGGGTGTATCATGATAACAGGCTTGCGGTTGGTACTACTACACCAGTGTAACGTCTCCGACAACGATTAAAGGAATCGCATTGTTACAAAGATTTTTTTCATAGCATATTCCAAGGATGTAGAATCGAAAACAGAACTCGTGGATTCGAAGAAGTCAGAATCTATGTCATCATGGAGACATAGACTCGGGACCCTAAACGTTTACCCAGAATCTATGTCATCAGGGACACATAGACTCGGGACCCTAAACGTTTACCCAGAATATCTGTCATCAGGGACACATAGACTCGGGACCCTAAACGTTTACCCAGCATCTATGTCATCAGAGACTTTTAAACTCGGGACCCTAAAAGTTTACCCAGAATCTATGTCATCAGGGACACGTAGACTCAGGACCCTGAAGGTTTACCCAGAATCTATGTCATCAGGGACACAAAGACTCAGGACCCTAAACGTTTACACAGAATCTATGTCATCAGGGACACATAGACTCGGGACCCCAAAGGCTCACCCAGAATCTATGTCATTAAGGACACAAAGACTCGGGACCCTTAAGGTTTACCACAGATTTATAATTAGTCTGCAGTCGCGAGTTAAATATGAAAACATGCGAACCGTCGACGTAGCTACGTCACGTATCAGATGACTTCCGTCTCTTTCTATCACAGACATATGCTTATTTGTTACGTGAGGCTATATCGCAGTTAATATCTTCACGACATTGTCCTCCCTTATCAAGATATTGTCCTTCCCTATCACGACATTGTCCTTCCTTATCACGACATTGTCCTCCCTTATAACGACATTGCCTCCCGTATCACGACATTGTCCTTCCCTATCACGACATTGCCCTTCCTTATCATGACATTGGCCTTCCCTATCACGACATTGTCCTTCCCTTTCACGACATTGCCCTTCCTTATCACGACATTGCCCTCCCTTATAACGACATTGTCATCCCTTATAACGACATTGTCCTCCCTTATCACGACATTGTCCTCCCTTATAACGACATTGCCTCCCGTATCACGACATTGTCATCCCTTATAACGACATTGTCCTCCCTTATAACGACATTGTCCTCCCTTATAACGACATTGTCCTCCCTTATCACGACAGTATCTTCCTTTATCACGACATTGTCCTCTCTTATCACGACATTGCCTCCCGTATCACGACATTGTCCTCCCTTATCACGACATTGTCATCCCTTATCACGACATTGTCATCCCTTATCACGACATTGTCCTACCTTATCGCGATATTGTCCTCACTTATCACGACAATAACGTCACAGGATATGCTGTTCCTCCACTTAGAAGAAACGATAGCGATTATCCAATCAAGAGATCATGATAAATTGATGAATCGACTTTACAATGAAGCTTCCTCATGGACGAGATCACGATGAAGATATATCGTTTACCTGTTCGCGACGAGGTTTTCTCCTTGATTGGTTCATGATCAGGTTTTATGAGCTACCAGAGCATGTTCATGTTTCCTCTTTAAGCGATAACAATGATGTTTTCCAGTAAATGAGATCACGATGAGATTTATCTCCTCGTTTTCTCATCTTCGGGATCATTCAGAAGAAGATTGATATCACGACTAGGTTTTCTCATTGATGAGATCACGATGTTGTTTTCCCAATCATGAACATCTTTTGGGCAACTACCGTCCATCCTCCTGGGAAAGTTAGAAAATGTGTATCAGAGCATGGCATACATTGTTATCGTCGTTAGGCATATACTGATCTGTTTAATATGGCGTTATTATTATCATCTACCTTTTTAATGTAAATGTCATGTTGATTTGCATTATTTTTAAAGGAATGATTTCCTTATCAATGCGATGAAATTTGTTCAATTTCTTGGCAGGATCAATTTCAAAAGAAAAAACAATTAATTTGAGTTTTCTGTGATTACTTTCAGTTTTTACTGTAAGAATATTGTACATCCGGCAACATTTGTATTACACACATAAAACCTCCATAAACATTATCGAAAACGCGTGAGAAACAATATATTGTTACACGCACAATGACATTGTTTTGTGGATCATGTTCATGGGTACATCTGAAATTGACGAGGAAATCAATACCTCGCTAAACTATGTTTTCCAGAATTTCGATAGATGAAGAGTCTTACCTATAAACTCCCGGAAACACTTTGGCTTGGGCTCCCAGAGAACACCGAACCAGAAGAGTGGGATTCCGGCGAAGAGGATACCCAACCCTATACCCATCTTCTGGGGTTTCTGGTAGATAGCTAGGACTAGCACTGCTATGTTGACTACCAACATGACCAGAGGGACGAAAGTCATCGTCTGTCAAGCAATAACAAAGAAACACGTCAAATCAAAATTCGGACACTTTTGACATGGATATGATATCGATGTGTTAAATTTTGACGTTATATATGTAAACCACAATCAGTCAACAAAACATGGACACATGAATCGAAACCATACAACAAAAAACATTGAAAATAGAAAAGAAAAGATGAACTTACAGGAACTAAATAATTAACAACAGCCAGATGTCCTTCATTTACTAACTTTAATTTCTTTCTGAAGGTTAGAACTATACTGAACACAGCAGCTTTTCAAGGAACTCGTGTTTCCTTTCAAAATTATCAATGCAGTATGTTGTCATTATATTACCGCTTGACATAGTAGGGTAAATAGTTTCGGAATTACCCATGGGTGCATACGTCAGGTTCGTCTGTCCGTCTCTTGATAATTTATTATAGGTCATAGTTGTTAGTATTTTTAAGTTCTATTTACGAAGATGCCTTTTGCCTTTATTTCGACCAATCGAACAATAAAGTCAATACTTTTCCTAACAGTAATTGTCTTGCGTTTTCCTGGAGGGTCACTTAACCTCATGAATTCCCTTTTGTTTCAACAGAAGTGTAGACAAATTTGGACTTCAACTATCGCAAATGAGTCTTAGATGGACGTACAATCTGTATTGTGCAGTGTGATTCATTCTTTGCATACTGTATCTATAACTTATTGTTAAAGGTGCGATCACATATGTGTGTCCCACATCCATCTGACAAAGGATGTCGGTGTGTTTCGCACCATAATAATGCCAAGATGATCTATGTTAGAAATGTATCAGGCAAAAATAAAACATAATAACAAAAACGTGAGCATGGTTTTCTATAGCGTTTTGATCAAGGTTACATATAGATGGTGTTTAGGTTTGAACATTTTATGGTTCGAAGTACTTTGAATTATTGCTGTTTTGTGTAACCTGGTATGATGTAAGGGTCAATAGTTGGTATGGCTGATGTTCAGGTAAGTACCTTGTTAGCCGGTATTAAGGTAAATAGTTGGTACGGCTGATGTTCAGGTAAGTACCTGGTATGGTTGATGTTAGGTACGTACCCAGTATGGTTGATGTTAGGTAAGTACCCGGTATATGGTTGTCGTAAGGTAAGTACCCGGTATGGTTAATGTTAGGTAAGTACCCGGTATGGTTAATGTTAGGTAAGTACCCAGTATGGCTGATGTTCAGATAAGTACCCGGTATGGCTGATGTTAGGTAAGTAACCGGTATGGTTGATGTTAGGTAAGTGCCCGGTATGGTTGATGTTAGGTAAGAACCCGGTATGGTTGATGTTAGGTAAGTACCCGGTATGGTTGATGTTAGGTAAGTACCTGGTATGGTTGTCGTAAGGTAAGTACCCGGTATGGTTAATGTTAGGTAAGTACCCAGTATGGCTGATGTTAGGTAAGTACCTGGTATTGTTGATGTTAGGTAAGTACCCAGTATGGCTGTTGTTAGGGAAGTACCCGGGATGGTTGATGTTAGGTATTAAGGTAAATAGTTGGTATGGCTGATGTTCAGGTAAGTACCCGGTATGGCTGATGTTAGGTGAGTACCCGGGATGGTTGATGTTAGGCATTAAGGTAAATAGTTGGTATGGCTGATGTTCAGGTAAGTACCCGGTATGGTTGATGTAAGGTAAGTACCTGGTATAGTTGATGTTAGGTAAGTACCCAGGATGGCTGTTGTTAGGTAAGTACCCGGTATGGTTGATGTTAGGTAAGTACCCAGTATGGCTGTTGTTAGGTAAGTACCCGGGATGGTTGATGTTAGGTAAGTACCTGGTATGGCTGATGTTAGGTAAATACCCGGTATGGTTGATGTTAGGTAAGTACCTGGTATGGGTGATGTTAGTTAAGTACCCGGTATGGTTGATGTTAGGTAAGTTCCCGGTATGGTTGATGTTAGGTAAGTACCCAGTATGGCTGATGTTAGGTAAGTACCCGGTATGGCTGATGTTCAGGTAAGTACCTGGTATGGCTGATGTTCAGGTAAGTACCTGGTATAGTTGATGTTAGGTAAGTACCCGGTATGGTTGATGTTAGGTAAGTACCCGGTATGTTTGATGTTCAGGTAAGTACTCGGTATGGTTGATGTTTGGAAAGTACCCGGTATGGTTGATGTTAGGTAAGTACCCAGTATGATTGATGTTAGGTAAGTACCCAGTATGGCTGATGTTCAGGTAAGTCCCCGGTATGGCTGATGTTAGGTAAGTACCCAGTATGGTTGATGTTAGGTAAGTACCCGGTATGATTGATGGTAGGTAAGTACCCAGTATGGCTGATGTTCAGGTAAGTCCCCGGTATGGCTGATGTTAGGTAAGTACCTGGTATGGTTGATGTAAGGTAAGTACCCGGTATGGTTGATGTTAGGTAAGGACCCGGTATGGCTGATGTTAGGTAAGTACCCAGTATGGCTGTTGTTAGGTAAGTACCCGGGATGGTTGATGTTAGGTAAGTACCCGGTATGATTGATGGTAGGTAAGTACCCAGTATGGCTGATGTTAGGAAAGTACCCGGGATGGTTGATGTTAGGTAAGTACCCAGTATGGCTGATGTTAGGCAAGTACCCGGTATGGTTGATGTTAGGTAAGTAGCCAGTATGGCTGATGTTCAGATAAGTACCCGGTATGGCTGATGTTAGGTAAGGACCCGGTATGGCTGATGTTAGGTAAGTACCTGGTATGGTTGATGTAAGGTAAGTACCCGGTATGGTTGATGTTAGGTAAGTGCCCGGTATGGCTGATGTTAGGTAAGTTCCCGGTATGGTTGATGTTAGGTAAGTTCCCAGTATGGCTGATGTTAGGTAAGTACCCTGTATGGCTGATGTTAGGTAAGTACCCGGTTTGGCTGATGTTAGGTAAGTACCCGGTATGGCTGATGGTTAGGTAAGTACCCGGTATGGTTGATGTTAGGGAAGTACCCGGTATGGCTGATGTTAGGGAAGTACCCAGTATGGTTGATGTTAGGTAAGTACCCAGTATTGCTTATGTTCAGATAAGTACCCGGTATGGCTGATGTTAGGTAAGGACCCGGTATGGCTGATGTTAGGTAAGTACCCGTTATGGTTGATGTTAGGTAAGTACCCGGTATGTTTGATGTTCAGGTAAGTACTCGGTATGGTCGATGTTTGGAAAGTACCCGGTATGGTTGATGTTTGGTAAGTACCCGGTATGGCTGATGTTAGGCAAGTACCCAGGAAGGCTGATGTTAGGTAAGTACCCGGTATGGGTGATGTTAGGTAAGTACCCGGTATGTTTGATGTTAGGTAAGTACCCGGTATGGTTGAGGTTAGGTAAGTACCCGGTATGGCTGATGTTTAGGTAAGTACCTGGTATGGTTGATGTTAGGTAAGGACCCAGTATGGCTGATGTTAGGTAAGTACCTGGTATGGTTGATGTTAGGTAAGTCCCCGGTATGGCTGATGTTCAGGTAAGTACCTGGTATAGTTGATGTTAGGTAAGTACCCGGTATGGTTAGGTAAGTACCTGGTATGGCTGATGTTAGGGAAGTACCCGGTATGGGTGATGTTAGGTAAGTACCCGGTATGGCTGATATTAGGTAAGTACCCGGTATGGCTGATGTTTAGGTAAGTACCTGGTATGGTTGATGTTAGGTAAGGACCCAGTATGGCTGATGTTAGGTAAGTACCCGGGATGGTTGATGTTAGGTAAGTACCCGGTATGATTGATGGTAGGTAAGTACCCAGTATGGCTGATGTTCAGGTAAGTCCCCGGTATGGCTGATGTTAGGTAAGTACCTGGTATGGTTGATGTAAGGTAAGTACCCGGTATGGTTGAGGTTAGGTAAGTACCCGGTATGGCTGATGTTAGTATGGCTGATGTTAGGTAAGTACCCGGTTTGGCTGATGTTAGGTAAGTACCCGGTATGGGTGATGTTAGGTAAGTACCCGGTATGGCTGATGTTCAGGTAAGTACCTGGTATGGCGTGAGTTTAAGTAAAATCTAGTATGGCTGATGTGAGGCCGGTATTGAGGTACGTACCTGGTATGGCCGGTTTTCGTCCGGTTTCCGGTACCTGAGGTACAGGAGGGAAATGACGACAGCGATACCCATAATCGTGGAGTAAAGTCCTATAAAGTCCATCATATCTACCACACCCCCTGTGTACAGCATCACTAGTCCCCACGTCAGCTGTACATTAAACATACAATCAACAACTTATAACGAGGTGCATATTAGGTTATATAACACACAGCAAATAATATCAACCGAATGAAACCGATGTTAATACAAGTGGATAGGTCGGTCAGTACAAACAAGAGTGAATACACTACATGTGTATATATTTATTTTATGATTGTCAAACATAGTTATTAAAATCACAGTTTTATAAAATATTAATATTATTATTGGGGGGAACTTTTTAACAATAACGGTAAACATTACAGGTTATACAAATATATATATATATATATTATAAATCAGAAAAATGATCCTTACGAACGAATAAATATTATATAAAGAAAAATCCTTAACAGTCAAATAAACAGTCTGAAGAATCTCTATATACATGTATATATAAAGAAAACATTGAGAAGTCCTTGTGTTGGAATTAAATATAAAAAATAGAACAAAAGACAGAGATAGCGTCTCTAGGCCTTTCTCGGGTTGATTCCCCGTTCATCAGGAGACTCTTTATTTTGAAAACAGGCATTGTGAGGTCATAGTTGTTTACACAAGAAAGTATGACGTCATCAATAATGCAAAGTCATTATGACGTCACAGAAGGCATACACATAAATCCATGACGTCAACAACAATACATGTGTATATATATATATATATACTAGAAATTAAAAAGCACATGAAATATGTGTGACCACAATCGGGAAACACTTACCAGTACAAGGATGGAGGGCCAGGGCGTTAGGTACTTATGACTGATCATCCCAAGAATAACGGGCATGTGTCCGACGCGGGACCCGGCGAACAGTAACCTGGAAAGAAGCAAAGATGTATTGACTCTCATACCAGTAAACGGTTAGGATTCATTACACACTCGACTTCACTCTCAGCTCATACAAGTAAACAGTTAGGATTCATTACACACTCGACTTCACTATCAAAAGAATAATTCGCCTAATAACACTTTAAGTCGATTTCTTATTAATTTTTTTATCACACCCATTGCAGAACATTAACTTTTATCGTTGATCAGAATCAATTAGGTAGCCACAATCTCACTAATATCATACATATGTTAAGTGCAGTTTTCAGTGGAAACTTGGTATTCATAAATCATCAATATCATAGATATGTTAAATAGACATGGTACAGTGAAAATGTGTTCGTCATCATCTCAGTGATATTCAAACGTGCGTTTAGACCTCATTAACTTATCATACACGTGTCCAATGGAAAGGCGTCAGTCCCACCTCATCAATATTCATATACGTGCCTATTTATTATTTATACAACTGTATAGTGGATACCTGTTAGTCATTATGTTACCAAAGTTCATAATATTCCCATTGAAGTTAAAATTCGGTAAAACGGTTAATGGATATGTCAGACCAATGAAAATGACGTTTCGTGGTGTGTGCGATATTGTTCAAAACCTCCGTTGCCAAGTGCTACTGGTGAGGTACTGTAACTGGTGTCTTTGTATTGTTACACTGTGTAAGTATTAATAACAATTGAAGCCTGAGAGCGGTCTCCACTTTTCTTTTAACACGCATCGTCGATCGTAAAGATAGTTGTAAACTTTGGTCAGCCAATAGGATGTACACGAGGTATACAAACATCCTGATTGTTTATTGACCAATAAAGCCCCAGTTGGCTACGTAACCGGACCTGTCGTGAGTACGGTCTCCGCATTCCCAGATCACCAGGTGTAAAACTGACAGGCATGCAGGTACACACTAATAGGTGGTAAACACAGGCCAACTTACGGAACATCTGATGTCATCCTACTGCAGATATGATGAATATAAATAAATCCTTATGTCTTATTTAAATATATCTTTATGCATATTGGGGTATCCTAAGGTAAACGGATTGAGCACAAGTTTTTTTAACATTTCATAGACCATCCCTACAATATAACTCAATAGTCAGACACTCTGAGGAGATTGTTGATGATATTATGTTGCTATGACTTTGATATATACATATTTTTGTACCTCCGAAATTCTTCCAAGAACTCACTGCAATAATATATATACATATAACTAGTATTAAAGACTGAAGTGCTTGGTCTATACACTTTCTTAAGGCAATGTAACATGTTGATTTGAAGAGTTCGATAAAAAATCAATTGTGAATATAAACGTGTTTACATCTTCCTCTTCTTATCACACAGGTAAAGTTTTACAGGTGTGGTGTTGTCGTTCCACATTCTCACACAGGTAAAGTCGTACAGGTGTGGTGTTACTTACCTGGAATGCCCCATGATCGAAGCGTTGAGAGCCCCGATCGACGTAGTAGCCACCAATGCGGATATAACGGCACTAATGGGACTGTACACTCGCCGGATAAACAGCTGTAATCAGTACATAGAACGCTTGTAAACTAACGATATCTTCCTGGTCAGTCTCTGTTAGCTACCGAAGTTGGTCAAACTCGGTTCAATCATCAGATTATATTTGTTTTTATGCTGGAGAGATTTACAATACTGTAACCTCTAGTTTTCTAACATTCTATTACATTCATTCTTATTTGATTAATATTTTTATATATTTATTCTTTAACCGTTCTCTCCGTATTTTATATGTATTCTGCACAAAAAGGAGAATACGTATATATTCATTCATTCATTCTTTCCTTAATCAATTAGTTTACTTTTCAAATATAACATTATTCTCATATACTCATTATCGTGGATTTAAGCAATTTCAAGGAATATCGTAACACAGATAAGTTTTAATAGATAATAATACTAAGGTCATGTATATCAGATTGTATTACCTATTCTCTTTATCTATTACTATTAATAAAACAGCAGGTACCACAGAAAGAGAGGATATCGCAAAAGCGGAATACCCCGAACATATATAATCAAAGTAACAAATATAGAATGCCGTACGCCTGTAAGATATTCAAAGCATATATTACTATCATTGTCGGTTTTCATTGCCGTTTCGCCTACAACTACGAACGACAAATGGCGTAGTACTCTGAGGCGGGCGAGAAAAAAAGAGCCACGTAGAAATAACTTTGTGAGTGGTAGGTAAATATCGACTTTTATTTTTTAATATTGTTGTTATTTCATTAGACATGAGCATTTTTGACATATTCTGATTAATAAAACTAAAATGATATTCAATTTTTTTCATGTTTTTTTAATTTTCATTTATGTCTATTGTTCTTTCATTAATGGCTCAATAACAACTGTTGTGTGACCGGCGCACGTCAACAGGTTCAATTGTTAAACAAAAATTCACAAAATGAAAGTAATTCACTGTCTCGTTAGGTAATTACACGCTGTCAGTGTCTACCGAAAATCTTAACGGGGTGTCTGTTCGTCCAGATACCTTATAATACCGCCGGACTAATAATAGATTTAAGGATACATGTCTCTGTATGAATGCATCTTTCCGTGTGATTATATTTCTTTTCCATACTTTTTTTTTTATATTTTGGTTCATATGTATAGACATAGCGGCTAAAGTCATTCAATGTCCTAAATACAAAATGAGATTTACAAAAAGTAGTTAGCTTAGAGAAAAAGGCAAATTGACTATGATGTTGTAATAAAAACTCCCCTTCTTTAAAAGTAATATTTTTTGCGGAAATAACCAGAGGTTGTTGTATATTGGGGCTGACCTTAACTATGTAAGTATACATTTAGTAATTTATATACCAAATGACGTATGTTGGGGACAAATGTCTCATTCACTTCCATTTGAGTAATACACATCCTGGATATTGACAGATATATATAATATCAACCATTTGAAAACTGTTTTATAAACAAATTGATAAAATATGATAGCTTACAAGTGCTACTGCCTGAGAACCAAGGACTTCCGAAGGGCTTAGCAGTGTGAAATAGGCCACGTTGGTCATGATGTACTTGATGATGACGACTATAAACGTGATGTAGACAGAACGAGGTAAATCTCTGAAATAGAAAAAGACGGATCTATATTAAATCATCGTTAGATTCTCCTCTATTGCGTCATTTAATTCTCCTTCCCAACGCCCTTCCGTACACACAACACCCCTCACTCGAACACACAACACCCCTCACTCGTACCTAAACAGTGTTTACAGCTGCTAAAGTAAAACATTTACTGCTCATAGCTGGTCATGGTGTTATTCTGAAAAGATTATCATATATGTATAAACAATATATATATTTTTGTGTATTTATTTAATCTGTATTGTAGCGCATGAAACGCACCCTAGATAATAATTATCAAAGTGAATAGGACGCTGTATAAATGATACACACCTTCTAACTCCCTTTCTCCCTGCTAAACATTATCTCCAAAATCCTTAACCTCTAACATGTCATTGTATCGTGAAAGCTCCATATTTAAATATGAAACTGAGCATTAATTATGGTAAGGTATAATTACCTGCCCGGCTGCTTTACCTCCTCCATCATGCTTGTCATCACCTGCCTGTTAACAGGTTCCACAAATACAGGTAAGTTGTTAATTAACATGTATAACTTATTTTCTCAACACCTTAGTTATTAATTACAAGATAATACTTTATTACCACAGTTATTTACATTTTGCAATTACCACCGGTAAGTTACAGTATGTATTTATAACGACAGGTATGTTATGAAATACTACAATATGCAATTAATTATCGAAGCTAAGTTTTTTATAGACAAAGCAAAATTGTGAATTTCAACTGGTTAGCATAAAGTATCACAGATAAATGTAAGGGTTTGTTTAGCCTCAGATAAGTTATTAATCAATACCGATCAGTTGTAAATGATCACAGGTTGGTTACTTAAAGGCAAAGATAAGATATGGACTAGGACAAGTGAGTTTACCATAGGTAAGTTTATATTGCTTTATGTAACTTACTAATTACTACAAGCTAGTAATTCATTACAATATTACAATCTGATTTTATAACCACGGGTGATATCTTACTTTTACTGTTTCGGACTATTTTAGACATAGATTTTCATTGTTTTGATCTTAAGTACCAATGATGATGCCCCAATAAACGGAATGGCCATGCTTATTTTATTTGGTTTTCTCGATTGTCGTAATACTTTTTTCCATAAGTATTTCCTTAACCTCGCATTTTTAATCTTTAGTACAAATAACATTTGTGTTAATTATATGTTTTAAACACATATGGAGGTTTAAACATGAAGTATAGAACTGACGGGTACATGTGATATATTCTAAATGTATACGTAATTCTGTATACTTCAGGGTATGTTTCCCTTATATTCCCTCAATAACATGTGCTCAAACAGACACGCCTCTTGTGGGGAAGTTCAATTGTTTTTTTTGTATTTTTGCTTTTGCTTATTCAAATTAAATTGATATCTTAATCTTTCAATTTTGATTATTTCAAACTAACAAGCATTGGAACAAGTGTTTTTGAGTTAGAATGTGTAGATCCCGCGAGACTTACCAGCCCCCATATGAGAAGACAGAGTAAAGGATGGCAAGACCGAATTCTCCAGGCTCCTTGGATGTTCCTTCAAATAAATTTTGGAAATTTTCCGTCTCACCTTTAAGGAAAAAACAGCGAAACATATAAATGTCTTTAATCTCAAATCTTTGAATTTTGCATTGTTTCTATACAATTGATTGACCTCATAAGTTTAGTTGTAACCGTTATTGATGTACATCAGCATAACGCCTATCCGAATTGTAAGACGATATATGAAAACTATTCATTTATCACGGAAATTCGGTTGAATATTTCTAGAAATCGAAGTTTCCATATAAACTGCGTGTTCTAATTATGCGTTTGTGGACGAAAAATACTTCCAACGATCTAATTAGATTTAAAAGGACAATGTTTCGATACTAAATACTACTGACACAAACTCGTCTTACTTCTATTTACCTCACTTTATTATTGATGACGTCATGTGCTTATTTGTCTTGTTTATTATACTTGTTTGATTAATAATTGTCTTATTTTGTTAAACTTCGAATACTTCGATCACAATGGAAAAATTCGAAAATCAAAACTGAGTGGTGATAAACGGTCAATTTCTTTGTTGTTATAGTGTACGCGTGCTCAAGAATGATGTGTAATGGTATAACAGAGATCGCCATGGTTAACATTATTTGGCAGTGTTATGTCTCCATACTTATGGTGACAATATGGAAGCCCAGTAGTGGCGATAAACAAGCACTAACCTTTAGCCAGCTGAATGATCCCGGCCACAACGATGATCGCCAGGGCGATGATCTTAGTACTAGCAAGAAGGGACTGCACTTTGATCACGTACTTCATGTAGACACAGTTCAGAATAACCATTGTGACTGAAACAAAAATAAGAAGCATTTTTAATCAATTGGATTTTTACGTGCTTGTAAAAGCTTATATCACAGGCGGGAGGGTGGGGGGGGGGGNCTTTTCTTATTTGTTACTTCTGTGACCTAAAGAAGAGGAGAAGACTCAAGTAATGCTTATGTCTTTTTACTAGCATATGTATCTGTGTGTACATATACTGAATATGTATGATGTAGATTTCTACCTTTAGTTTGTTTTGTCAACGTATTACTGACCATGATAGTCAGAAATTCATTCAAATGAGTATATTGAAAAATATATCAGAAAAGAGAAAATCTTCATCTAAAACAGTATCGATACCCGTACTCGTATCATTCTTTGTTATAGAGTTTGGGACGTTTAGTACGGTATTCACGCTCAAAAGTTACCACATCTAAAACAGTATCGATGCCCGTACTCGTATCATTATTTGTTGTAGAGTTTGGGACGTTTAGTACGGTATTCACGCTCAAACGTTACCACAAAAGTATCCTAATGGGGTCAAAGAAATTTATCCGCAAAATATCATTTTGTAGATTTCTATCAGGTGCTGTTATTATCCCCGAATATCATGAACACTTTGATGTGAATTGCTCTGTGTATTATAACGTTACAGTCGACTTTTATAAATATATCCACAGCATCGAGAGAACACATTATATTTGTAACGTTTTAAAAGAATAATAGTTTCATTATGAATTGCAAACCGAATGGGAAGGTGATAATAATTTTTAAAAAAATCAGAAGAATTTTCATTTATATATTCATCAATTTATTTATTAAGTTTTACAAAATACGTAGTCGTGCGTTGCTGCTAATTTGTGTATTCTGTACCTCTCACATAGACCGTGAACTTTCAATTCAGTTTGTCTTATACAATGTATAATTAGGAATTTGAAGTTTAACCATATAGGTGTACATTGTACTTATATCGTCCTAGATTTGTATCGTTTTGTAATTTTGGGATAAGATAAATATGCTCCTGTGTTTACTATAAATAAAATCACATAATTATAATAAAATATATATTTTTCCTACTTTTTCCTTTTTATTGATACTGTATCAATTTCTTTAATTGATAACATTTTTTTTAGTAATCATAAAACAAAATTTTGTGGTGTAATTGGATATGTTATCATAATGCAATCTTCGAATGAGTGATTTTTGATATTGTCAAAAGTGTGTCAGACACATCGATCTTTGAAGTCATTTAATATGTTGATATGACTGTTTTGATTCCTTTATCAAAGCATTCACAATTACGATTTTGTTTCTGTGCCACACTTTACAAAAAGTACTTTTTTTCTGATTTCCACGTCTGATTACTGTAGATCTTTGAATTTCAATGTTGTTTTGTTAATATTTTTTTTTTGTAAGTTCTCTTTATCTTTTGATTTCTTCCATGTATTTGAACATCTTCAAACTTTCTTCATTTTTACAAACTTTTGACGTTTAATCACGCAGACAGAACAACATCTGTTAACGCTACTAACGTCAACATCCGTATCACAATACTTCCTGGTCCCCTGGTATGCATCATAATCATCTTACCCTGAACTTGAATCAATAACTAAAGAAACATTGTGAGTCCGCTTCCAAGAAATTGAAAGCTAAATACTACTCGTTGTTGTATTTATTTACCTTGCCTATTTAAGTTTTTAAAAAACAAATGATAACAATTCCAGTGTTGAAATATGTTAGACATCTGCTACCTGGATTTGAAAAAGTAGTACAAATACGGTAACACTATGAGATTAAGAGCGATGTGTAATATATGTTCTACACTTAACAAAAACACGTAACACATACTAAACCAATCCTTTATATAAGTGTTTCCCCCTATATTACTCTCAAACCAAATCTTTTCTCAAAACATTGACAAACATCCCTGGGTTCTGTTAAACGATCTAACTGAACCATCTTAGTATAATGAAGTATCATAAGCATCTAGTAGAATAAAGCAAGTTCCCAACCTTTATATCTTAAATTGTTTTCATCATTTCTTATTCGAATAACAACTATTTGAATATAACTATTAAATGTTAGATGTGAAACCTAACTTACACTGCACATGTCTAAGTATAATAATAATACACATGTTTATTATTAACTCTGTATATAAATCAGGGACTGGATGGTCCCCACTTTTTGTAACATCCATATTTGAAAACCTTTTGGCTGTTGATATCTATTTTATTACGTTCCCTAGGGGAACTGTATGATATATAATTTGTAGCTGTGTGTGTTTGCAATTAATTCCGTGTAACAATTTCTTTGCAAAACAAAGAAATATGAGCAAACATAATTATTTGGAGAATTGAAAACAGTATTAGAAAACAATCAACATTTACACAATTCATGCAACTCAAGCACTTACTCATGATCCAGCCAGCCAACAGCTTCACGGCGCTATCCGGAGCCTCGCAGTCGGGATACACCGGTTGAACGATGTAGAGGGCAGCTGTGTAGGCCAAAAAAGCCCAAAAGGGACCAGCCACAAGGACCACATAGCCCCACATGATGAGGAACCCTGGTAACGGGCCAAATGTGTGCATAACGTACGCATAAGGACCTCCCGCGTGTGGTAGCATTGTTCCCAGTTCAGCGAAACAAAGAGCCAACATCATGTTGATAAGTCCCCCAATGAGCCATACTACCAAAGAGGCCCCCACTGACCCCGCTGACCTGAGGATATTAGACGGAGAGATGAACACAGAGGAATGGCCGGTTACAGCTACCATAATGGCCACGCAATGGAAGAGAGTTAAAGATCTTTTCATCGCAACCTTAGGGGTGCCGCCATCTTTCTTTTCATCTTTGTTGTCTTTTGTTGTTGATTTATTTTTATTTGAATTTTTTTGGTTATCATCAATACTGTAAACACCACTGCTGTTACTGTCCGAGGCACTTTTGGTACTGCTCCCACTGACAGCGTCATCGTCTCCAGTTTTTGCGAACTCGATATCTGTTATTGCGTCCGGAGAGAACGCTGGGTTTTCTCGCGCGTAAAACCCAACTCCCTGAACTGGGTTATCCCCACTCTTATCTGTTGAGAACACGTTGCCCGTTTTCCTCCGATTCATTGTTTCACGATGCCTGTAACTAATTTAAATTCAAATTACAAAATTAAATTGACCCGGCTGATATAAATACATACACGACAAACCTGATATCTTTACTACTGGTTTACAAAGAAATTAACTAAAATTAAAATCTCATTATTTTACTGATGTATTAAATATTTTTACTTAACATTTGATTCATCGACATATTAAAGAACAAACTTCCCTCTAGAAAGCCAACTTACTATTCCTGTTAAAAGCGGACCACTCAGAATATCCGCTACGTGTTGCGCTTCCGAGCCCGGGTTGTATTTTAACTGACTGACGATAGTTATGAGATAGATGTTGATGGTCTCACTGATCTGGTGATTGTAACCCGCTTACAGCAGTAAGAATTATGTTTTATACATGTCCGTTTTTACTAGACCTTAATTTTCGGAGGGTGGAGCTATGACGCGACAATGTCCGGTTAGAATCCGGATGTATGATTATCAGTTGCCCAGTCATACCGAGCTTTATCCAGGATAAGCGTTCATAGAAACAGGATGGGCTACTCGGTAGTGCACGTGCTGACACGAGCGCCATGTTTGGAATAAACATTGATTTTTTTTCCACAATTTACAGCATACTTAAACGTTTACTCTGCTAACACTTGTGAGGCATACCTACACTGTTGCTGTACATACACACATGGATGTTGTGGTTTTGTTTTAATACGCATGTCAATCAAACAGTGACAAGTAAAAACATCAGCTGTTGAACCTATTCACTGCAATCTATCACATTTAACATAAAGTCCTCAAGTTTTGTTTTATGTTAGGAGGGACAAATCCGGTTTTATTTTAAGCAATACTTAAATACTGCATTATCCAATTTGTCTTGACGGCAATTACAAAATAATCACGTAAATCAATGTCATTCGAAATATTTCGTTTTTAACTATTATCATTGAAACTCGTCATGTTGTGTTTTTAATCCTTTAATTCGAGTTTATCACATTCTGATAACTTGATAAAGCCAGGTTGAATCCAACATTAGCTTTATATACTAATATTTTGTCATCTTTAGTAACAGCTGCGATATATGTGATTGGTGTTGGTTAATACGGGCTCATCGGTTATCATATTAGAAATATCTGCGTATATTTATTATTTCTTTATTCGAGAAAAGATTAGGGGGAAAGAAATGTTGGTTTGTATGACTCAATATTTCCTGAAAATTTGATTAATGAAGAAAAAATAATGTTTCCAACATAAATAAATCGAACTAAAGTAATTGTCGAAAAAAAAATCCACCCTCCGTAATTGATATTGACCATAATCAAAATATATATTCATGGGGGTTCACACAACAAAGAGCTATGAGTTATAGTATTTGTCATTATATATTCTCGCTTGAGGCCTCTCATGGGGCAGGCTCACACTTTTATGTTACCTTAAAACCTCCCATGTATAATAAAGCGACGCATTAGTTACGATCAAGGTATCCCATAGTATAATACAGTAACACATTTCTGTTAGCTTGACGCCGCCCGTAACCACATCTATGTCACATCATTTTTATTTGACTGGTTAAGTATACATTTAAGCTTGGTTTTGCTGAATCGTTAAAATATCGAAACAGAAAGTAAGTATTGATTTATTTGTTTGATATCAGTTTTTAAAAGTTAACCAGGAAGCATTACATGTATTATCTGTGCCAACAATACCAGGGCCCTTATTCATGCAACCGATCTCTTGTTCAAGCATGGATTCTGTACTCAAACCAACTTCCTTGTGATTCGATAAAACCATATGATATGACATAAAAGACAAGTTTTAACAGTAAAAACGGTATCTGGCTAGAAGTCTCTCCAATTTTGTCCTAAATTATAAACGAATTTTGATTTTGTTTTCTTCAAAACCAGAAAAAAACCTGAGCACAGAATCTGAATTTAGCATGAACAAATCTTCATGAATACGGGCCCGTATGTGATAAGCTATTCCGGAATTATTAATTAATTTTCAAAATAAAATTACAAATTTTCTTTGTGCAATTTATCGACCGTCAGTGCGACTATATAACCTGTGTTATGTTGTTGCTGGTCCCAAATACGTGATAACATTGCTATCCGCATACCGCTGTCGACTGTCACGTTTTGTGTGTGTGTTCTGTTTTCATTGGTTGCTGAACATTATTACCTTTGACATTATAGGTGAGTGTCTATAATCCTGTAATGACTGCTATTCTGTCAATGTAGAATGAAAAGTGTCTAGTCTGACATCACTTCAAACTACACCCGACTCTACGGTATGTCCAAGCCAAGGTCTGAGATCACTTCAAACTACACCCGACTCTACGGTAAGTCCAAACCAAGGTCTGACATCACTTCAAACTACATCCGACTCTAGGGTATGTCCAAACCAAGGTCTGACATCACTTCGAACTACACCCGACTCTACGGTGTGTCCAAACCACGGTCTGACATCACTTCAAACTACACCCGACTCTACGTTATGTCCAAACCAATGTGTGACATCACTTCAAACTACACCCGACTCTACGGCGTGTCCAAACCAAGGTCTGACATCACTTCAAATTACACCCGACTCTACGGTATGTCCAAACCATGGTCTGCCATCACTTCAAACTACACCCGACTCTACGGCGTGTCCAAACCAAGGTCTGACATCACTTCGAACTACACCCGACTCTACGGTGTGTCCAAACCACGGTCTGACATCACTTCAAACTACACCCGACTCTACGGCGTGTCCAAACCAAGGTCTGACATCACTTCCAACTACACCCGACTCTACGGTATGTCCAAGCCAAGGTCTGACATCACTTCAAACTACACCCGACTCTACGTTATGTCCAAACCAATGTCTGACATCACTTCAAACTACATCCGACTCTAGGGTATGTCCAAACCAAGGTCTGACATCACTTCGAACTACACCCGACTCTACGGTGTGTCCAAACCATGGTCTGACATCACTTCAAACTACCCCCGACTCTACGGTGTGTCCAAACCATGGTCTGACATCACTTCAACCTACACCCGACTCTACGGTATGTCCAAACCAAGGACTGACATCACTTCAAACTACACCCGACTCTACGTTATGTCCAAACCAATGTGTGACATCACTTCAAACTACACCCGACTCTACGTTATGTCCAAACCAATGTCTGACATCACTTCAAACTACATCCGACTCTAGGGTATGTCCAAACCAAGGTCTGACATCACTTCGAACTACACCCGACTCTACGGTGTGTCCAAACCAAGGTCTGACATCCCTTCAAACTACATCCGACTCTACGGTATGTCCAAACCATGGTATGACATCACTCCCGACTCTACGGTATGTCCAAACCAAGGACTGACATCACTTCAAACTACACCCGACTCTACGTTATGTCCAAACCAATGTCTGACATCACTTCAAACTACATCCGACTCTAGGGTATGTCCAAACCAAGGTCTGACATCACTTCGAACTACACCCGACTCTACGGTGTGTCCAAACCATGGTCTGAGATCACTTCAAACTACCCCCGACTCTACGGTATGTCCAAACCATGGTATGACATCACTCCCGACTCTACGGTATGTCAAAACCAAGGTCTGACTTCACTTAAACCTACCCCCGACTCTACGGTGTGTCCAAACCATGGTCTGACATCACTTCAACCTCCCCCCGACTCTACGGTATGTCCAAACCATGGTATGACATCACTCCCGACTCTACGGTATGTCAAAACCAAGGTCTGACTTCACTTAAACCTACCCCCGACTCTACGGTGTGTCCAAACCATGGTCTGAGATCACTTCAAACTACCCCCGACTCTACGGTATGTCCAAACCATGGTATGACATCACTCCCGACTCTACGGTATGTCCAAACCAAGGACTGACATCACTTCAAACTACACCCGACTCTACGTTATGTCCAAACCAATGTGTGACATCACTTCAAACTACACCCGACTCTACGTTATGTCCAAACCAATGTGTGACATCACTTCAAACTACACCCGACTCTACGGCGTGTCCAAACCAAGGTCTGACATCACTTCCAACTACACCCGACTCTACGGTATGTCCAAACCAAGGTCTGACATCACTTCAAACTACAACCGACATATGTCTATGGTAGCTAAATAATTTCTTCAAAAAAACTGAAACTGTAAAAGTGGAAACTTTCGCGGTTTTTAAATGTAAGCTTTTCTCGCGATGAGTGAAATATCTCGGAAATATCTACAAGAAAATATTATTTATAGATTATAAAGATAATAATAGCATTCAGAACTATTGCAAACGCAAATATTGTCATATCGTGATCAGTGTATTGTCATATCGTGATCAGTGTATTGTCATATCGTGATCAGTTCACAGCGTCACAACGCGAATATGTTCACGCGCGAAAATTCCCACTTTTACCGTTTAAATATTCGATAGGTTGTCATTTTTGAAATATATGTAACAGAGGTCATTATCTATTCAATGCCTCCGCCAGAAGTCGAACCCGGAACCTCTGGCTTACTAGTCTTATGCTCTACCGAATGAGCTAAAGAGAAATTCTCTCAACCCAGTCGGTAGGAAGCGGCTAGTACTTTTCCAGGGGGACATACTCCCCCTCAAGGAAAGAACTCGTCCCGAGTTTTCCAGGGGTCATAGCGATTCTTGTGAAAGTATCGCTGAGTATATTTGTCAATATTACCTGGGTCCCTACGTGGGCGCGAATGTAACAGAGGGTTATCATTTTTTTCAATGCCTTCACTAGGAGTCGAACCCTGAACCTCTGGCTTACTAGTCTTACGCTCTACCGAATAAGCTAAACAGAAAATCTCCCTAGCCCAGTCGGTAGGAAGCGGCTAGTATTTTACCAGGATGACACACACATATATAAATATATAAACAGATTGTTCCTTTAATATGAATATATATATATATATATATGGGGCAAAGAAGTAATTCCAACAGTGTGGACAAGTTTAGGTTCTTAAGACACAGTGAAACAGAACAGTTACATGTACATATACATCATATTACAAGAAGATAGAACTGATATACTATAATTGAAAATATAGCTATTATATAAAACCAATAGTCCCCTCGGCTAAAGACAGCCGAAGGCAGCTATTAAGCTGAGAGCATCGCGGACATGGAACGCTGATGTAGAGGACATATTCTTGCGCAAGATGCACTATCACATAAAGTGAGTCAACGAGAAAAAACAAAAACGTGGAACATGTGCATGTGGAAATCTGGCCCGGTAAATGTGAAAAATCTCAATTTACTACGGAATGTCTCATTAGTCGCCTCTCAATTCTGCGGTGGATCTAACAGTCACAGCAGGGGGGCCACACTTAGTCGCCTCTTTTGGTTTGCAAGAATAATGCATGTTATTATCAAATAAGTGAGTGCAG